CTCTTCTAATGCACCTTGGAAGGCAGCCAATGATGATTCCAACAGTTGGGTCCTTGAGACCCACATGGGAGACCTGGATGGAGTTCTTTGTTCCTGGCTTCAGCCTAGACAGGGTCCCACTTTGACCCATTTCTATCTGTGTGTCACTATGCCTTTGAAGTCACTAAATAAATCTTAAAAACAAGCAAAAAAAAAAATCATGTGCTGTGTGCCTGGAAAACGTTTTATGCCCCTCATCAAAGGAGACCCTTTCCATGGAGACTTTTCTAACTTATCTCCCAAACACATCATGTCCTCTTCCTCATTATACCTGGAGCTGGCATCTACCTCATTCTACCTTGACCTGTAGTCTCTCCGTAAGACTTATACGTCAGTGACTTGGAAGCAGAGATCAGAATGAAGCATTCCCCTGGGAAGACTGCTTCTGTCCTTGTTACCAAATCTCTGAGATGGTACCTCACCCCCCACATCCCAGGTAACAGAACTGCCACTGCTTTGATTTCCTGAAGGCCCTCATCCTCAAAATAGCATCCTTCCTCCTTCTATTCTTTAGTCAAATCTAAAATCTGAATTATGTGGCCAACAGAACCTCGGCTAACAGCTGTGGAGTCCTCTGATTTGAAGACAACGCTGCCATGGAATTCTCTTCACCCACAGCTCCCTTGTGTGTGCCTTCTGTTCAACGTAAAATGTGCCTGACTTTATGACTCCTTCCACGGTAGCTGCAATCACAAATGCAGACAGTAAATCCTAAGAATCCATGTGCTTAAAGAAAAGGCCATGCAGAACCGAAGTCAAACAAACCATTTGAAGGCCACCTGAGCAGACACCGGGGGGATGGTGACCTGGGAACCCTATTTGATGCTGTACCCTAAAACTTCCCTGTAGATGGATGGCTTTCTTTTTAGCACATATTCTGAATCTGACATTATTTCTACCATGAAGGAGTGAAAAATAACAGTGGTAAAGAGAAGAAAAATAAATCTATCCAAAAACTTTATTAACTGTCTGATTTGAGAGTGACATGGAGACAATGACAAACAAGTTTTGATATTTGTATTGAAGAATATGATATGCAGGCCCAGTATTGTGGTGCTTGGGGTCAAGTCCTTGTGTTTCAAAGTGAGTCCTGACTGTTCTATTCCCTATCCAGTTACCTGTAAATTTACCTGAGAGGCAGCCAGTGATGCTGTGAACACGTGGTCCTCTCCCACCAATATGGGAAATCTGGATGGAGCTCACTGCTCCTGGCTGCAGCCCAGAGAAGGCCCAACTGTAAGACCATTTCTGTAGTGACACAATAGAGCTAGCTCAAGCTCTCTCTCTCTCTGTCTCCCCTCCCCAACTCTTTCAGTCACTATGCCTTTCACTAAGTAATTAAATAAATCTTGATCAAACTAAACAGAATACGATGTCTTCCTGGAAAACTGACCTTTCTTCATTCCCCTTAAATGTCACCCTTTCTAAGGAAACTTTTCTGACTTACTGTCACCCAAAAATGTGGACATCTCCGTCCTGATCTGCCTTGACCTGAACTCAATGGTCCAGAGACCTGAAATGATCATAATGCCCTTCAAGGACCCGGAGGCATGTGTCAAAACGAAGCATTCTCCTGGGAAGACCTGTTCTCCCCATGTTACCAAGTCTAAGAGGGTGCCTCTGTCCCCAGCACAACAGACAACAGAATCACAAACGCCTTGGCTTTCTATAAGAGCTGCCTCTTCAAAATGTCTTCTGTCTTGCCTCTGCTCTTAAATCCAAAAGCTAAAATCTCTTTCTCCATTTAGGAAAGAATGATGGCAACAAGCTTTCCCTGAATATATCTCCAGTTAGAGAAATTTCCAGAATGATAACAGGTGAAGAAGAATTCCACACTTGGCAAATGAAACTCCTGGCAGGGCAAAGAGTTTTGAGGATGACTCTGAACCACATTGGTGGTTCTCCTGTGCCCTAGTCAACTGAATTCAGTTTTTAGCCTGGTGGATTCTGTTCGGGGTGGATGCAAATGATGTACCTATCTCCACTCTGGCTTCTCAACCCAGACTGTTGAGAATGAGCCACGTTACCAAAAAAAAAGAACTCAGCTATGGACATCTGATTTCTCCTGGGGAAGACAGAAAAGATGGAATTTAAGAGTAATTTCTTGGGCCCAGCATGGTAGCTTAGTAACTAAAGTTCTTCCCTTGCATGCACTAGGATCCCATATGGGCGCCAGTTCTAATCCCAGCAGCCTCGCCTCTAACCCTGCCTGTGGCCTGTGAAAGCAGTAAAGGATGACCCAAAGCCTTGGAACCCTGTACCTGCATGGGAGACCTGGAAGAAACTCCTAACGCCAGGCTTTAGATCAACTCAGCTACAGCCGTTGTGACCACTTGGGGAGTGAACCAGCAAATGGGAGATCTCTCTTAATCAATAAATGTTTGTAAAAGGAGCCATTTCTCTAAGGTCTGCATGTGTGCCATCCCTGGTTGTTTTGGCTATTTGAATAGTGAAGTATCAGATAGAAGATTGAGACTTTTTCTTTCCCATTCTCCCAGTAGCACTACCTTTCACATAAATGAATAAATCTTCGGAGAGAGAACACCTTTAATTTCCCCTGGCTTGTCATACACAGTCATCTTACAGATTTCATAGGACATCTATATTCTACATTGAGTCTTAATTCTATCTCAGATGGATAATCTTTCCTGTAAGAACTTCAACAGTTAATTCTGTCCTCTCTTCTGATGACTTCCCTGCCTTTCCGTGTTCATGACTCTCTGTAGCATGTTCAAAGGAACCCTCTTCAGTATGTTGCATCAAAGCTATATTCTAAATACTTCTGGCCGTTGATAATAGTCTCCCCTCCCACACGACTCACTGATAATGAGGTCATTGCTTTAGTACCATCAGCATACTGGGAATAAGCTATAAGGACACCCATTCTCAATTCCCCTAAGCAACCTTTCAAGGTCCAAACAGAAAGAAAGGGAACAGTCACACAACGTAAGACTAGAGAAGGCACCAGAGGTTGTTACTCTCCTCCTTCAACAATTACCACCATACTGCTGGCCTCTCCAATAAACAGTCATTTAATGATTAAACTGGAAATCTCCAGAGACAGGAAATTATCATTCAAGGTATTCATTCCACTGTTACAAGCCCTCAAGTGGGAAAAGATTCATCCTCACAGTTACTCAAATCGGCCCAGTGTGACCTCCTCCTTTGTCTAGGTTGTCTGTGTCTCTGTGTGTGTCTCCTTTCCTTGTCATCTTGGGACAGCAGCACGTCCTGCTTATCCTGCTTTTCTCCATGGTCCCTGGTATGGTAGAATTGGATGAGTAATTATCCAACTATGTAGTGGAAGAATGGATGGCTCAGCAGCTATCTGACTTATACTTTTTATACAAGGAGCTGGTCAGAGAGAGAGACCCTGGATTCTAACTCATTGTGTCACCTGTACTGCCTCCTATGAGAGAATTCCCTGAGTTATAGCTACTGGCACCTCAGCAGAGTGAGGTTATCCTGATGTTCCTGAATTCACACGTGAGTGCTCCTATCTGCCCAGAGACCCAAGAGTGAAATAAACAGACCAGACACAAATGCCTCCATGTTTCTTACATTTATCAAAGATGCAAAAAGACATAAATGCTAGGGATGCTATTGTTGCCAGTGGATTAAGCTGCCAGTTGCAATGCTAGCATCCTATAAGGAGTACTCGTTCAGGTCTCAGCTGCTATGCTTTCTATCCTGCTCCCTGCTAGTGTAACAAGGAAAGCAGTATAAGAAAACAAAATCATTCAAGACATGGGAGGTTTGGGAGCAATTCTAGGTTCATGGCTTCAGCCTGGTGCCCAGCCATTATGGTCATCCATGATCCTGGTACTTGCAAGCTTAGAATTTAGTCATTGAGGCGTCTCATAGGGCCTGAAAAATGGCTTTTTCTTCTCTACATTTTTACCTCTTTCTGTGCTTTCCTGTATTTCAAATATGCTTCTTATCTTTAAAATAAATACATAGTCCCAAAGTGGTGGTCCAGTTAGCTAATCCTTCTCCATTTAGTGCTGGGATCCCATCTGGATGCCAGTTTGTATGCCAGGCTGCTCCACTTCCCATTTGTCTCCCTGATTGTGGCCTGAAAAAGCAGCTGAGGATGGTCCAAAGCCTTGGCAGCCTATTAGATCTCCTTCAAATTAGGAAATTAAGTGCTTCTCAAATACTGTCAAAATGAGACATTAGTCCAGAAGTATAAATAATAGTGAAAAGTCCCCTGGAAATGTAATTAAAATATATAAAATCTAATGTAATTAAAATATATAAAATGTAAATAAATCTATTGATTTATCATTAGGAAATAAATGCCCTGAATTTATCTGTGTACTTTATATCAAACAGGAATTATCATAAATAGCAAGGAGATGGTAAATTTTTCACTGATAAAATAACATTACAGCTTTTTCAAATAAGGGTTTGAAGCAAGTTCAAAATAATAGCAGTGCCAAAAACTGTCATATATAATTTGTACACACACACATATATATAAAGTCTCCAAAGTAAATTATTCTTTAATGTTACTACCCATCTAGTCTACTTCTCAAGACCTGGATGGCTGACACCTATGCATATACCCTGTGCTTATGCTAGCTGTTTTAACCGCCCTCAGTAACAAGGACTGCAGTAAAGAAGACAACTTTTAGGTGGCAATTCTGAAATTTAGAAACACATGTGACCTTATCTTCTCTTAATGGATTGTAACAAAGATAAAAAAGAATCACTGCTAAACAGTGGTGTCAAATTAAGTCCCTATGTTTGAGACATTCGTCAAGAATCAACACTGGGTCTGAATAGCAACTGCAACTTACCAAAGGAAAGCATAACCAATGTTTGGGCTGTGAGTCTGAAAATGAGCTGCTCGGGTGGGACCCAGAGGAACCTGCCCTGATGCTGAGACCTGGAGGACAAGGGCGGTCCCTCCAGCACAGCCTGGCACTTCCAGTAGGCTTGTGGCCTCTGGCACTTACCATTCTTACAGAGCAGAGCAGCCAGGAAGTCCTGGGAAGAATAATTAATGAAGAGCAGGAGGCTGGGTGCCCGGCCTGTCATGAAGCTCAGTGCAATGTTCTCCTTGGATGGCACTGCATCTGTGTAAATAGCTGAAGATGACAGACTAAAGTTCTTGGTCACAGGGTAGGGTTCTTGAAAGGTGTAAGTAACCGATGTCCCAGCCTCAAAAACAGCAGAAACCTCTGTAAAATATTAGAGGAAAGACAAGACACACAATCTAGAGAACCATTTTGGCTTACATAACTTTTTTTCTGGGTGTCAAATACTGTGCAAGGTGTTTTAGGAAACTCTGCATGTTTCCCTCAAAATTTATAAAAGTGCAAATGATCTTATTATTTATAAACATAGAACTAGGAGCCCTACAGAGGCTGAACAGGTGGCACAGCCCACATGTGGCCCAGCCTCTTCTGGTGTTTGAATTCAGTTCATGCACTGAGGACGTGTGACTGGCAAGATGACCACCACAGGCCAGACAAATATCTCCAACAGCAATCATGCAGTGCCCATGCTTGCAGCATGATGCAAAGGGGAGTCTACTGACACCATGTTCCTTGCAAAGTTGTAATTCTAATAGTTTGGTTTTTCTGATATCTCTGGAGGATAATGAGTGGACTCTAGCTAAGGGGCTAAGAATTATTTCCTATGGAGTTTAACCAAGGATAAGGATTAGGGTGGACACAGCAACACAGCAGGCTAATATTCCTCCTGTGGTGCAGGTATCCCATATGAGTGCTGGTTTGTGTCCCAGCTGATCAGCCTCCTTTTATGGGGCTGGGAAAGCAGTAGATGATGGCTCAGGTGCTTGGGCTTTTGCATCCATGTGAGAGACAGAGAAACATCTTCTGGCTCCTGGCTTTGGGTCAGTTCAACTGCAGCCATTGTAGCCATTTGCAGAATGAACCAATACATAGAAGACTGATTGATCTCTGTTTTTCTGACTCACTTTCCAAAAAACAAACAGTAAATAAAAGGTAAGGACCAATGCAAATAGCACAAAAGGAATTTGTCAAAAGTGTGTTTTTACAAGGCCCCGGATTCTAACTCCAGGACTCAATATTTTTAGCTGTCTAGGCACTGATATTCACTGAGAGAAAACAGCAAAGATTTGGACAGACTTCTCTTGAGGAATGAAACTCTACAACACAGTGCCCTGGGTGGTACTCAGCTGCCACCATGCAGAAATGGAGCATCAAAAAATAGGCAAAATTCCCTTAGCAGGAAGTGCAATTCATGATCCAGTGTCTCTGTACATGCTTCTCATGCCATCTGCCATATTAACGCCAGAGTGCAGCATAGATTCCAGCCCACCTCTGGACCTCATGCCGACTGTGTCAGCCCATGCAAGCTGCAGCACCCTATAAAGATCTTCTCCTCTGATGAGTGGGACTTATAACATCAGCCTTCCCCTTAACTTCCTGTTAATAAACTCCTCTGACTCAGGAGGTCTGTCAGTGTGGTGTGTGAATTAAGACTATGCTAGAAGTGAATGTGACCTGACACCTGGCAACGACTCTTGCCAGTGAAAGCGCACAGGAATTAGGAATCATGATTTAATGACCTGTTGCCATGAACGATGTGTGCAATGTTCCCAATTCCCCACAATAATCTATGTTTGAGTTGATGTCATCCAGAACACAATCCAACCTGACTTTTGCTTCCTAAGGCTATCGCAGATTTGTTCCACCTTTGGAAAATTTGATACTGGTACTTAAAAAAAAATAAAGTAGCATGTTTATGCATATTGCCAAGCTAGTATGGGAATACTAGTTCATTTTTAATAAAGGTTCATAGAAAATTGTCTGCATTTATTATACATTTTCCAATATTGGCATTTCTAATGTAAACATAAGCATCACACATCGTGACACTAAAGATGGTAGTTCATCACCAGACTGATTCGAGTATGTCCTTCAGTGAATTTCCTTGGAGGTGTTCAACCCACGTTTTGAATTACCACCCCCTCCTTATCAAAATAAAGGACTCTAATTTGATGATCGCAGATGTGTTTAAACATACGTCAAGTTGAGAGAATTCTCTAATGAACAGTGGTATACATATATTCATACTCAAAGCAATAAATTAAAATGAAAAATAGTTTATGATTAAAAAATGTTAATCCCCATTCCTACCATCACTCTCTCCAAGCCTCAGTTGTAATAATTTGTACTTCTTAGATATTGTCTATTTGTGTATAAAACTAATTTCAGTAATTCACCTTGGCTATTATTCTTTCAGCTTCTTACACCGTATACAGTAAGAGTCTAAGCTTTCTGACAAAATCAGTTGAGTGATCCATACATCCCATACCACCGTACCAATGAAAGAATCACTTGAAGGAGATTACCAGTGACATCTACTCCACTCCAGGCCACAACGCACACGACAAAAAACCCTTGAGTGCCTCTTTGTGGAAGGAAGTGTGATAATGACGTTCTGAGATGACAAAACACACTCAACCCATGCACATCAATGGAACAGGAGAAACAGGAACATGTCACGGTGACCAACAGTTATTGTCAAACCACAGACAATCTAAAGGCAGAGAACGTCTACCTTTTCTCTTTTGCCTCAAAGCTCCACAGAGAATCATGAAGGTGAATGCTTCTACCCCTTCCATTTCTCACTTACTAAGAGAAACAGATAAAGCCCCACTCGTCGACCTGCTCAGAATCATGGACACCACGGGAGACCGGGAACTGATTTTCCTCCCACACCTTTAACTTGCCACAGTCTCCTTCCTCTGAAACCTGGCATTTTTCTTCTTTTTTTCTTATCGCTTCTTAGAATTCCATTCTTCCTCGTCAAAATACTGTTTTAGACTATATCCTAAGCCACCACTTTGAGTAACTTTTCAAGCAGATAGCATCCACTGCACCCCTGAATACACTCAGGTGTTTTTCTCTTATTAACCTGGTGTTACAGAGTTCTTGTCCAAGCCACATACTTGTAAGGATTCGGGGAAGAAATCTAGTCCCACATCACAAATCCAATTTAGAAGTTAGCTTTAGGTTTGGTATGCACTGAGAGAAGACAATGGTTCCTGGTGTGTGATGTCACTGAGGCCCAGAACAACCTGGGAAAGCCTGAGATGAGAACTGGGCAGTGACTGGTCCTGAGTGTGGGCCCTGAGGGGATTAGGAACCAGTGTGGCCTGAGGAGAGAACCTGACTGGCTGGAGAGGAAGTCTGTTCTTCTCATCTCAGCTCTCCTCAGACCCACTCAGCCTCTACTTATGCAATAAGGGTGGAGGTGGGTTCTATCTTTGAATGGATGGAAAGATTAGATGGCAAAATCTAAAAACACAGACCTCAGGAAGCTCTCTCAGTTGGTAGTAGCTGGACTTAACAGTCTTGAAATTCGATTTAGAATGAGAGCAATTATAAAGCCCAATGCTGGATAATGAGTAGGCTCATGGCTAATGTAAGATTAATGGATCTGTAATTAAGTTACAAAAATCAACCAAAAATTCATAAATTTGTTAGACATTTAACCACTGATTAACTATTTCATTGTGTTAAAATTTATCATTGTATTTTTATTCCATAATTATATCATAACGATACTGCAGAGATGTTTTTAATGAGTCCATATTTTTCAGCAATAAATGGTGTAATATCCATGGGTTAAGTGACATTATATAAGGACATTGCTTCAAAATAGCAAAGGACACAATGTAGCTATACTGAGACAATGACATTGGTCACAAGTTGGTAATTATGGAAATCAAATAATGTAGGTTGCAGTATATGTCTAAAGTTTCCACGACAAAAATTAGGGGAAAAAAGATATTTGGCAGGAATATAGGTTTGTTTTGTTTTGTTTAGAAAGTCAGATTTACATAGAGGAGAAAGAGATCTTCAGAGGGAGATCTTCCTCTCTGCTAGTTCACTTCCCAAGTGGTTGCAACAGCCAGAGATGAGTTGATCCAAAACCGGGAGCCAGGAGTTTCTCCAAGGTGTCCCACATTATCCAGGATCCCAAGGCTTTGGGCCATCCTCAACTGCTTTCCCAGGCCACAGGCATGGAGCTGGATTGGGAATTGGAGCAGCTGGCTTACAAACTGGCACCGATACAGAATCCCAGCGCATGCCACTAGGATACCATGTCAGACCCCCAAAATTATTTTTTGATAAATCTTTTTAAAGATTAATTTATTGCTGTGAAAGACAGAGTTACAAAGAGAAAGGAGGGGAGAGACTGAAAGACAATCCATCGGTGCACTCCCCAAGTGACCATAATGGCAAGGGCAGGTCAGAGTCGAAGCTAAGGGCTTTATCCAGGTGCTGCCTTCCAAGATGCATTAGCAGGAACTGGACTGGAATTGGAGAAGCCTGGACTCAAACGTGCATTGGTATGAGATGTTGGCACATCAAGCAGCAGTTTGAACTGCTGTAACAAAGAGTCTGGCCATTGTGGCCACTTGGAGAGTGAACATCATCAGAGGGAAGATCTTCCTCTCTGTCTCTCCACCTCTCTGTATATCTGACTTTCCAATAAAAATAAAATAAATCTTTTTTGAAAAAATGTTGGCAGTATGGGCCTGGCGCTGTGGCCTAGCAGCTAAAGTCATCACCTTGAATGCGCCGGGATCCCCCATATGGGTGCCGGTTCTAATCCTGGCAGCTCCACTTCCCATCCAGCTCCCTGCTTGTGGCCTGGGAAAGCAGTTGAGGATGGCCCAAAGCTTTGGGACCCTAAACCCATGTGGGATACCCGGAAGAAGTTCCTGGCTCCTGGCTTCGGATCCGCATAGCATGGGCCGTTGCGCTCACTTGGGGAGTGAATCATTGGACACAGATAGATCTTCCTCTCTGTCTCTCCTGCTCTCTGTATATCTGACTTTCCAATAAATAAATAAATCTTTTTAAAAAAAAATAGGTTGGCAGTATATCAGGGCATGAACTGTAACTTGTTTCCTGGCCTCAGAATGGTCATGAACAAAACAGGAGCCTCTGAGCAGAGCTTGCAGGGTTTGAGAATGGGTGATAGGTCTAGTAATTACAGCTACTGCTGGGATCCTTTTGTCCTGAGTTTAAAGTTGGCTCCATTCTTGATGCAAGTTTCCCAATAATGTAAGCTTCAAGAGGCAGCACTGATGATTCAGGTACTCCACCGTGGGAGATTCCCACCAATGTGGCTCACATCTGTGTGGGACAGCAATATTGAACTCTTGGCTCCCAATCTTGACCGCAGCCTTGGGAATTTGGGGAGTGATTCAGCAGATGACAGTTAGCACTGTCCCTCTCTCGTTATTGCTCTGTCTCTTAAATAATAACCAATCAAATAAAAAAAAATCTTAATAAGGAGAAGTAAGGGCCAGTTCGGTAGCCTAGTAACTAAAATCCTCGCCTTCGGCGTGCCAGGAATCCATATGGGCACCGGTTCTAATCCTGGTGGCCCTGCTTCTCATCCAGCTCCTTGCATGTGGTCTGAGAAAGCAGTAAAAGATGGACAAAGCCTTGGGACCCTGCACCTGTGTAGGAGACGTAGAAGATACTCCTGGCTTTGGATCAGCGCAGCTCTGGCCACTGCAGCCACTTGGGGAGTGAATCAATGGACAGAAGATCTTCCTCTGTCTCTCCTCCTCTATACACATCTGACTTTGAAATAAAAATAATTAAATCTTTAAAAAAGTAATAAGCAGAAGTAAAATAAGTCTTGGGGAACATCTGTAGAAGAGGGAGGTTTAACTGGGCATTCAATGTTGTTTTTATTATCATACTTATATTTCTTGAAAAAAAAAACAACTAGATGGATTTAGCACCTTCAAGATTCTTCCAAAGTTAGATATTATGATCCTTTGATGACATCTTTAGATTAAGGAACAGAATAGAGAATATTACTATTATTCACAAATACAACAGACTTGAGAGTCCATCCCTTCTAGCTCTCAGGTGCCTTCACTGCCTGCAAGAGTTTGCTGTGCTGTAATTATCCGCCTGGTTTAGCTGCATCTTCATATAAAAGTAATGAGTCTGTGCAATTATGTTGAGTCTGAACCAAGGGAAACAGAGTAACTGCCGAGGGCCTCCAAGGCAGTGGGTGTCATGTGGCCTGATCGCTGCCTGAATAGCATGCAACAATTATAACATTTATATAAGGGAACAACAGAAGTGCCTGGCACCAACATCACGATACAGTAGTACATTAAGCCACTGCCTGCAATGCTAGTGTGTCATATTGGAGAGTTTGTTCAAGTCTCACCTGCTTTTTTTTTTTTTTGATCCTGCTCCCTGTGCAAGCAAAAAAGATGACCCAACCACTTGGGCCCCTTTTACTCCAATGGAAGACCCAGGCAGTGATCCAGGCTCCCAGAATTGACCTGACTCAGCCTTGGCCACTGTGGGCAACAATTTGGTCTGTCAATCAGTAAATAAAATCTCTTCCTTTCTCTATCTTTTACTCTGCTTTCTAAATGCATAGTATTAATATTTTACTACATGTCGGGCATACCTTTGTTGCAAAAGGGCCCTTCATACGGTGAGCTGGTGCAGTCACACAGGAAGCCACTGTGCTTCTCTACACACCTGCCCCCGTTGTGACAGAGGCTGCCATAGCTGCTGCAGTGGCCAGGGCACCCGGGCCTGACCCCAGATGTGTCCTTGGCTCTCTCCTCCAGGTCCAGTTTCTGTCCATTCACATGTAAAGAGCGGATACATCCTTGGAAACCTTTCTGTCTCGATGATGTTCCTCCTGAGGGCAAGAAACAAGACAAGGGAAGTTTAGTATTTAGGAGCCATTGATTTGAACTTTACCTTTTGGTAACATTACCTTACCTTACATTACCTTTCTGTAACACTGCCAATTTGTACTGTGAGTTAGAAAACCAAAGAGCCTGGGGGGGGGGGCGGGGAAATGCATGTAGCTCTAGACCAGGAACTTCCACTGCTTCAGCTAATGGGAGAGAAGCCATAATTTCCATGTAATTCTGCGCTTCAAAGGATTTAACAGTGAAAATCCAGATCTCCAAGTTCTTTTGAACAAAACTAGGAGAATGCTTTCAGGATTACAATAGCAGAATCACTTCCTAAGGGTCAAGCAGCACAGCACAGACACCTGGGTTAGATCCCAGCTCCTGGCTTTGCCCTGGTCCAGTTCTGGCTGCTGCAGGCATCTGTGAGATCAAAGTGGCAGGTGGGGACATCTCTGACTCTTATTCTATGTCTCTGTCACAAATCAAATGGAATTACCCTTAGGAAGATAAGGTATATATTCCTAATGCAGATTAGCACCATAACCCATTATTGGTTGAAAGTAAAGGCTTGAAAAAGGAGTAGAACCAGAACTTTCCAAGTCTTTCATTTCCACTGAAAACACAGGATCCAGCAGGCTACCCCTAATCCTCTAACACCAGGAAAAATACACAGTAAGAAAGAACCAGCCAAGACGTTGACTGAAGTTGCATGGCGGGAGTCCATGCAGCACTGGGAATCCTGAGAGATGGCAAAGTGCTCAGTAGAAGGCTACACTTCAAACATACACTCTATTTCAAATCCTGTAGGTGACACAGTCACTCTTCCAAATGGCAACTCTGTTTCTCACTTAAAATTGGTATTCCCTGTGCAACATAACTCATCCTGCAGTTGCTATCTAATGCATTTGATGGAAACATATTGTGGTTTGGTCATTTGCAAAAACAAGGCTTCATTAGGTATGTGTACACTACGGGTGTGAAAAGGACATGTAAGCGTTTGATGTCTATGGAAAGTGCTGATGGAAAGGAGAAGGCAGAAGGGAAGAAATCAAAGGCAAGGCTTTCTTGCATTTATTTTCTGCATCCCTAGTACCTGTCAGAGCATTCATTTCTAATTCCTTATTCTACATTACCAAATATGAGCCTACTCTATTCTCATAAAATGGGTTGCCATTGAAACATGACACAAGATCATTTAAATTATCTTACAGGAGACTATAGATGTAAAACAAGGAGACAAACTGCTGGGCTCAGTGCAGTGGTACAGCATGCTAATTATCCGCCTGCACCAGCAGTAATCACATATGGGCATTGGTTTGTGTCTTAGCTTTGCCACATTTGACCCAACTCACTGCCAAAAAAAGGCCTGTGAAAGCAGCAGAGGACAGCCCAAGGCTTTAGTCTCCTGCTTCCACGTGGGCAACCTGGAAGAAGCTCCTGGCTCCCAGCCTCAGACCAATGCATCCCTGCCCATTGTGGCCACTGAGGAAGTGACTTAGTGATTGAAAGATCCCTCTCCTCTCTTTCTAAGTACCTCATTCAGGTAGATATATAATTTATGTATGTGTGTATACATGTGTATGTGTACATACACACACACACACACACACACACACACACACACACATATATATAATAAAGAAACATGATTGCATATTAGAAGAGACTCAAGAGTTTCTGGGGGAAAAAAAGGATTTCGGTGTAGAGATCCTGATTAGACTTCTGGGTTGGCTCTTCATGCTAATAAATGCCCTGCGAGGCAATACATCATATATTTCAAGTACTAGAATGACTGGGATTCATATAGGAGCCCGTGACTGATTCTTTGACTTCTGGCTTCAGCCTGGCTCAGCAGCAGGTTTTCCAGGCATTGATTCGGGAAATAAACCAGGCTATGTGGAGACCTCTCAATCCGCACCTGGGTTTTTCAAATTAAGTGAATGAAGGAATGAATATGATTCAAATAATTTCAGACATTCTGGTAACAAAAGGATCAGAAGCAAGGATGGTGAGATGGCCTGGGATGGAGGACTGACAACCTTTTCAAAACCACACCAGGTCACCAGCCAGACTCGTCATGCTGTGTCTAAAGGTGGAGACGAGGCACTGCCAAGAGGTAAGCTGAAGTGCCTTATTTGAAGCAGTGATCAAACTCCACAGTGTCGGCATGTTCAGTTCTGAAAAGTGAACCTCAACTTGTCAAAGAGACCATTTCTAAATGTTTTCCCCTGTGTCAGTTTTGGTGGAGAAATCTCCTTGCACCCTCAAGATGAAGCAGTTAGACACAGACGCAGATCAGACAGGAATGCGTATTTATTTCCTACAGATAATGAGCAATAAGGAAAGGAGGCCTGAGGCAGGCAAATGTTCGGTTTTGTTTTCATTTCTTGTATTTTGCAGTCACTTTCCATGGTGGATTATAATAACTTTTCATCTATTTGGTTAGTGTGAGTCTTCTTCTAGCAAAAGTGAAGAATACAAGGTGTCTGGCCCATTTACTAGGTGTGACTTAGTCGTCAAGCATATAAGTGGACAAAAAAAGTGACAGAGTTGATTTCCCTGGAAGAAAAAAAAAAAAAACATATTTATGGAGGTCTGAGGCTCAGAGCACCTGATCAGAATGCCCCAAACTAGGGGTATCTCACTTCCAGATGCAGAGAAAACGTGTGGACCCATGGATAAAGAAGTAGAAACAGGCATAGTCAGGATTAGAAAAATTGGTTCCTGAGCCCTTTGAGAAGGACATGATGTTGGCCACCTGTTGGCCTGCAGCTGAGGAGGTCCTGAGCGGGCAGGCATGTGAATGCCCTTTGCCAGGAGCACTCCCAGCCTTGGGGTACCAAGTCCTTTCATTAAGGTGGACCTGCACAGCCAATGCCTATGTCCACTGCATGGCCCTCAGCCCCTCCACACTAAGCAGACAGGTGAGTACGTCTGCTTAGCCTATGACTTTCCAGATGAAACTAGAAGCTAAATTCAGACAGCAGGCATTTTACTCCTCTGACAAAATTACTTCCTTACCAACATTACTTCTTTATCAAAATGGATTTGAATCCAAACTCCTTTCTTCCACGATGAGAAGAAACTTGCTGACAGGACGAGAACACAGGGTCGATCTATCACCGACACTTTTGGGGGAGGTTAGGACTACGTTCTCTGTGCTCAAGGGTTTTCTCACCTCCTTCTCCGGCTCATCCTCTTTGTAGCCAGAGACCTGAAAAGTTCAGAAAGCCCCAAGGTACATGACAGCTTCAGGAACCCTTGATGGATTTGTCCCTTCAGAACTGGAGCTTCCGTTGTGGCTGCTCAGTGTGACCCTGTCACTTTAGTGCAACAGCACCTTGGCTTTGAGAAAGGCACACGCAACTTCCTGTGGCTCTGGCATCCCTCACATCGGGCCCTTGAATCTTCAGGGATATCATTTCATTGTCCAGAATGATCTATATTGTACCTTTTCTAATCATTTTAATTCCGTCTCCAAGTCAGTGGTGGTTTTGTAAATTTGGTTTCTTGAGTTATAAATGTGGACAACCGGAAGTTCCAGGAGGATCAAATCACTGGTTCCCACAAAGAGTTTCCATGTGATCTAAATCACAGGATCTGTCTCCATAGGCTGTGAGGGAAAATGAATTCATATTACATTTCTCCTTTAAAAGACAGTCAGAAGGGCCAGCTTTGTGGCAAAGCACATTAAATTTTGCCTCAAGTATTGGCATCCAATCTGAGCACCAGTTTGAGAACCTGCTGCTCCCTGTGAAGGCACCTGGGAAAACATCAAAAAATTTCTCAAGAGCCTGGATTCCAGCGTGCTTGTGGGAGATCTGGAAGAAGCTGCAGAACCATGGTTTCCTGGCCCTAGACATTCAATGCTACAATAATGGAGACTGAACCATTGCACGGCAGAGTCATTCTTTCTCTCTGTGTGTCTCCTTTTCTTCCTTTAGGAAAAAGAAAAAACCAAATACAGACTTCCTTTTCTTCCTTTCAACTAAATAATAATAATAATAATAACACTAAACAAATGGTAAAAATAAAGTGGCATTATTAATTTTGACTCCTGACATTCTTTTGGAAACTAAATATGGGAACTCACCTACATTTCTCTCTGCATTCTCAGAACAACTGAACACCCATTCTTTGACAGAAATCATGAAGAAGGTGATGTTTAAGAATAAATGAATAAAGTAAGGAGATAAATACATAGAAGGCTGCTGTTATGGGTGCTGCGGTACAGTGAGTAAAGCAGTCAATTAGGATGTCATTGTCTCTTCTCAATTTATCGGTCTGCTATGTGCCTGGGAAAGTAGCTGAAGAAGGCCTGTGTGCTTGGGTACCTGTTCCGCATATCGGAGTTCCACATGGAATTCTTGGATTCTGACTTGGCCTGGAAGTTCCTGGTTTTGAATAAATTTGATGAATGGACCAGTGAGGAGGTCTCTCTCTTTCTGATTTTCCAATTAATAAACAAATAAATATTTTTTAAAATGAAAGAACTGTGTTTATGAAATGTATGAAATTATTCTCTTTATATTAATGTTATACAAGAAGAGAATAAGAAGACAGCATCACCCTTGTTGTATTTTGTAAATAGGAAAAAAAATACCTAGGAAGAAAAAGAAAATTCCATTATAAATTGCCCATTATGATTCCCACGGAGACCACTGTATGATGAAACGAGGTGCAGCTGAAGTGAAAAAGATTGTAATAAACATTTCAAAACCTTTGGTTAAATATTGGGGTACAGAGTCAGCAACTACTGAAGAGGGCTATGGGGATAAATTAAAGACATTCAACTTTCAGTGTCTCCAGGAAGAGGCCCGATTTTGCTGAATGGGTAGTTCTATTGTTCCACTTCCTGATTATGAAAGTTGAAATAACCATCTCTACAACCGTTACATTGGATAGTGACCGAATGTCAGAGAACAGTGGGATGAGGGGTGGAAGATGCATGACAAACTAGGTCTTTCTTCATCATCCATTTTGTGGAACCAGAACTCTCAGAAGGGCATTTCCACAACAACTGAATGAAAGCACAAATGGGAACTGCTGCTGGTGCTCTTGGTTCCCCTACCAGCCTTGAAAAGGACTCAGTGAAATTTCCAATATGTAATTTTATGGGGAACATTAGAAGTCTGTATTTTTTCTTTCTTTTTCCTAAGAAAATTACTTGGGACCTGGCATGACAGCCTAATGGCTAACGTCCTCATGTTGAACGTTCTAGGATCCCATCTGGGTGCCAGGTCTAATCCCGGCAGTCCTGCTTGCCATTCAGTTCCCTGCTTGTGGCCTGGGAAAAGAGCAGAGAATGGTTCAAAGCCTTGGGACCTGCACCTGTGTGGGAGACCTGGAGGAGGGTCCGGTTTCCTGGTCCAGCTCTGGCCGTTGCGGTCTCTTGGGGAATGAATCATCGGATGGAAGAGCTTCCTCTCTGTCTCTCCTCCTCTCTGTATATCTCATTTTTCAATAAAAAATAAATAAAAAAAGAAAATTACGGGGCCCGGCGCGGTGGCGCAAGTGGTTAAAGTCCTCGCCTTGCACGCCCAGGATCCCATATGGGCGCCGGTTCTATCCTGGCAGCCCCGCTTCCCTTCCAGCTCCCTGCCTGTGGCCCGGGAAAGCAGTTGAGGACAGCCCAAAGCTTTGGGACCCTGCACCCGTGTGGGAGACCCAGAAGAGGCTCCTGGCTTCGGACCGGCATAGCATCGGCCGTTGTGTTCACTTGGGGAGTGAATCATCGGACGGAAGACCTTCCTCTCTGTCTCTCCTCTCTGTATATCCACCTTTCCAATAAAAAAAAAAATAATAATAAAAATAAATCTTAAAAAAAGAAGAAAATTACTTCTAGATATTATTTGAATTTGAAACTATAAACTTGGATGCACTAGGCTTGCTCAACAGAACACATAAGGTTGAAAAGCATTATTTATCTTCATTTGGTCATCCATTAAAAAAAAAAGTATCAGCCTCCATACACAGTCACTTTAGTTGATGGATAAGGTAGATAATTTTTCAAGCGTCTTATCGTGGTGGACAGTATATGTGTTATAAGATATATTTGGGACAGCAGCTTCCCTGAAAAACTATGCATCAGGAAATTAATTCTCACAAGCCACTGACAAAGCTCCTACTCCACAAAGACTACGCCAGTGCGCCCGTGTGTGTAACTGTGTATGCCATGAGTTTGAAGTGTTGCAGCACAACATGAACGTGTGTACTGCGCCTGCCCAGCCTCAGCACAGAGATTGCTGAGTACAATGTGCTCCCTCTGAAAACAAGAATGCGCCTTTCCAACCAGCCAGGGAGCAGGAGCAGATTTTGGGGAAAGGAGAAGCAAAGCTTCAAATGTCAAGAGTAATCAAGTAGAACTAGTGTTTTCCCCAGAGTAATGTGAGTCTGGAATAACATCAGCTTATATTGGCACAAATAGCATCGACAAGTTGGAGATGCTAATGGGTCCATGAAAGAAAAAAATATACTAACAAGCAAGTAAAGTTCTACAAATGAGTCTCACAAGCTCCCATCTTCACAAAGATTTCAAATGTGTAATTACAGTGTATTTGGAAATAATCCATGGCAGATAAATACAGAAGACATTTTGCACAAGGGCAATAGCATTGTGTGTGTGTGTGTGTGTGTGTGTGTGTGTGTGTGTGTGTGTGTGTGTGTGTATGTAGGACAACCATCTCCAGGGCTGGAAAGATCATCTACCAGGATCTCCATTTTCCCATCACAATCGCAGCCTGCTGATTTTTCCAGCACGGGTCACATTGATCTCTTCCTCTGACATTGAATGATGAACAATGAGTTTTACTTTTCTCTTACCTCATCCTCAACCAATAGCCACAGTAGCAGGGAGGAGGGGCGATGCTCTCAATGTGTGATGGTGACAATGCCACCCATTCACTGAAGCATCAGCATGTGAGCCTGCCACGTGCCAGTGTGAACGCAGCCTGTGTTTGGCGCTCAGTAGACAACGGAATCCCTAGCAGTGATGCCAGTTGACTGCCTTGCTGAGTAATGCCCTGCTCTGATTGAATGGCCCCTCTGAGGCCAAACTGTATCTCAGCAGATAAACACAAACGTACATTTTAGTAATATCACACTGCATTTACATCAGTAAAGTCCTATATTTTAACAACATGTTTCCTGAATAACAAACATAAGGGTGTTTCCAAATTCTGTATGGAAAACAGAATTAAAACAGAAGTTTAGGAGCCAGCACGGTGAGCAACAGGTCAGGCAACGAAAATGCAATACCCTATGTCAGAGTGTTGGTTCAAGTCCTGACTGTTCCACTTCTCATCCAGGTTCCTATTAGCATGCCTAGGGGAAACAGTGGAAGGAGGCCCAAATGCTTGGGGTCTGGTCAAACTAGCATGGATTTATGGGCCCAAGGCTCTGGACTGGCCAAACCCTGACTGATTGGGTCATTTGGGAAGTGAACTAGATGATGGCAGAGGTGTCTCTGGCTATCACCTCCTCTTTCTCACTCTGTACCTCCTGAAGTATGTAGAGTCAATTCCTAAGAACAGCTATTGAGTTTTATTGATGATGATCCAAAGCAGGACCTGAAGATGTGAAGATACTGTCCATAAGAAGAAAAGATAGCAAAAGAACCTGAGATCAGCCAAAATTAGTGGATAGTGAGCATGAGCTTGTACAGCTGTGCTACATCAAAGAATATACAGTATCAGTTTTATGATCGTAAGAACTCTGCGACATATTCCAATCATTCCCCAGGCCTAAACTAGAGGAGCATTCTCCTTGCACCCAGATTGTGGTCTTGTACTCACACACACAACAGGTGCCTTAAGATGTCTCCTACCTACAAGCAACTGGCCGTTGAGCTGCAGTGGGAAATGGCCACCCTCCATGGTCTCTCTGGTGTTCCTGGGCAGGTTGTCCACCTTCAGTGAGGTCTCCTTGAGGTTCCTCTCAGCCTGGACATGGTGCCACTGGTTGTCATTCAGAGGAGAAGGGGACTGAACGATGAGCTCCAGAGGACCATTCCCAACATCGATGGCAAAGGTAACCTCGGAAGGAGCTGAAACCAAGGGGAGAACAGGAAGAGGCAGAGGGGATCAATCAGTGTGTAGATGGCACAGACATCGGAACTGGTGGGAGAAATTGTTGCAAGCCCACTTCATGATGGAGATTAGTACCGAAGTAAGAACTAGTGGTAATAACCATAAAATAATAAATATGAGTGATGTGTGTGTGCTCACAATCGATTTTACTCTTAAAATGTAGGATACAGAGATTTGAGATCTAAGCATGATGCTTTTGGGTCTCCTCTGCCTTCCAAGGTATTTTCCCAGACAGCTGAAATCCTGGGGCCAGCTACACAACTCCTTCTCTGTTGTGAAGAAACTCATGCCCTGAGAGCTGCAGGAATATCCTCTTTGATATTTCATAAACACATGTATTACAACAATTTATTCCATCTACATGAATAAAAAGATTTAAAAGCAAGCTGCCTTGCCCATGAAGATAGAGCAGAAAGCAGCTGTACTTAAGTTCCGATCGCATCTTTATCGTGGTCTCCTATCATAAATGACTCTGCCTATCTATACTGTCTTACAAATCACAGCAGTCAGGTGGACAGATGTAATTCTAATGATGAGGAAAGAATGATGAGGACTCTATTGGTGGTTCTCGGATGGCGGCAGGAATGCTAATGGTGGTGGGAGTGACAGTGTTTGTGGTAATGAAGGTGTAACAGGTGGAAATGGTGATATAACAGATAACGATGGTGACGGTGCTTGTGGTAATGATGATGAATAATGGTATGGAGATGGTGCTGTAACTATAAAAACACACAGATGAGAAGGGGCCCGGTAGCAGCTGAAATCTTCGCCTTGCACGTGCTGGGATACCATATGAACACCGGTTGTAATCCCAGCAGCCCTGCTTCCCATCCAGCTCCCTGCTTGTGGCCTGGGAAAGCAGTCAAGAATGGACCAAAGCCTTGGGACCCTGCACCCACATGGGACACTTGGAAGAGGCTCCGGGTTCCTGGCTTTGGATTGGCTCAGCTCTGGCCATTGCAGCCACTTGAGGAGTGAATCAGCAACTGGAAGATCTTCCCCTCTTTCTTTCCCCCTTTCTGTATATCTGACATTCCAATAAAAATAAGTAAATCTTGAAAAAGAAGGACAGATGGGAAAGGCAGTCCAATAAGGACAATCAGTTTTATACTAGACATGATGCTAGGCAATTACAGTAGATTCTCTTGTTTCAACCTCACAATAATGTCATGATAAAAAAAAATCATTAATTCTATTTTATGAAGGAGAAAATTGAAGTTCAGAGAACGAGTTTGCTCAGCATCTCCAAGACATTTAGAAAATCTGACTTCAAAGGCCTGGCTCTTGATCATTTTGCACCTTTATGCTACAAGCTAACTTACAGATCATTCATCACACAGTTCCCTAAGTTAGGAAGAATTTGTACGTTAACTATAAATGAAGGTTGGCCCATCAGTCACTGTGACTAGGGCTTCCGTGTGCCATACTTTCATTTCCTGCTCAATGCTTTGCAATTGCTCCCTCTTCTCTATTCCCCAGACAGAAAATGTGCTTTTGGCTTACTGAGCCAGTAAGTACACAACCTAAATTACTACAGACATCAAAGACTAAACCTCTCCCAGCCCCAAGCTTTACATTCTGTCAGAAAACCAACTAGGATAGAGAGCCTCCAAATGCAAACTTGCTAATTGTGTGAGCTGGAATCACATCCATTTTAGCTGATTCCTCAGCTTAAGGAGAGGTCACAGGTTGGGGACTGAAATGTGACTTCTTAAGTGCTTTGAAACATAAGGCCCTTTGAAGAAACAAAACAAACAAACAAATAAAAAAACCCTCACTACGCCTGAGTCTTCTTATCCATAAATTGGAAGTGAAAACAGTATTTCATCATCAGGTTGGTTATGCACATATTCTCAGAGTTTTACAACTCTGCCTTGCAAGTAGTGTGTGCTCACTGAGTAAGCTGGTACTATTCCCATATCACATGGGCTGTCAGCACAAGTACACTGGCTTTGGCTTTAAATCCCATGCATTAAAGGGAAAGTATTGGCTCACAAAAAAACAAATTATAGGACTAAATCAAAAGTGACCTTTGATACATGTGCTGCTTCTGATCAGAACGCCAATAAAAACTTGCAGCCTTACAAGCAATATTACTGACCTCACATTTACTTCTCTCTGCAGAACTCAGGGAAAGAACAGTGCATCTTTTGGGGAGGAGTATTAAAGGATTGGATAATTGCCTTCCTGAAAAACCTATTCCAATGACTTTTAAGGTCTACCCAGCAGATACCCTGTTGTATGAGCTTATTTCAGCATCAGCCCCCCCAACCCAACGAGTCTGAAAACTCTAGGCAAACAGCCACATGAAATACAGACCAAGCACTTACTGACAACCGTTCCATAAAGGAAGCTCTCAATCAAGCTTTTGTTCACTAATGGATTGCCATACTGTACATATGAAATGTAACAGCTCAATCTCCTTTCAATATTTCTACATATATGCCAAGATATTAGCTTAGTTGGATAGTCTTGTTCCTAGAAATGAAGGAGACTCAGAAGTGCAATACAGTAGGGCCCAGTGCCGTGGCCTAGCAGCTAAAGTCCTCACCTTGAACGCGCCGGGATCCCATATGGGCACCAGTTCCAATCCCGGCAGCCCCACTTCCCATCCAGCTCTCTGCTTGTGGCCTGGCAAAGCAGTCGAAAATGGCCCAAAGCCTTGGGACCCTGCACCCGCCTGGGAGACCCAGAAGAAGTTCCTGGCTCCTGGCTCCTGGCTCCTGGCTCCTGGTCTGCACAGCAGCAGCCATTGCGGTCACTTGGGGAGTGAGTCATCGGACGGAAGATCTTCCTCTCTGTCTCTCCTCCTCTCTGTATATCTGCCTTTCCAATGAAAAACAAATAAATAAATCTTAAAAAAAAAAGTGCAATAGAATAAGGGTGCTTCAGAATATTTGCAGAAAGTAGAGTAAGCAGATATATTTATGATGATGCAAATGGATTTTAAATTCACACAGAGATTACCCAATATACATTTTTGTGAGTTTTTAAAAAGATGGTTCATAAACACTTCGAAAATGTTGCGTGCTTACCATGAACCATGAACCTTCATGAATCAACAAAGGCATTTTCTGTGGATCAACTCACTAACACTTGACTACAAGTTCAAAAGTTGGGTGCTAATTTACAGACAAGGGATGCAGGTAGAGGAATCTAAGAAGACTCTAGTGAGGCTGTCTGGAGTCAGGATTTAAACACAAGTGCTTTGTCTCCAAAGAACTTGCTTCTAATTACTTTGTAATGTAGAGTTATTACTTCTTTCAAACTTTTTTTTTATGAGGCACAGAGAAAGAGAGAGCTCCCATTTGCCATTTGCCTGTCCAAACAGCCACATCAACTAGACTGTGCCATGCCAAAGCTGGGAGTATCATCCAGATATCCTGGATGGCAAGGCTTCTTCACTGAAGTCAGCATCTGATGCTTCCAGGCTGCACATGTGCGGAAAGGTGCAATCAGAAGGTGAGCCCAGAATGCCTGTGGGAGGATGTGGGCAGCTTAACTAATATGATAATAGCCACTAGGCCAACTGGCCACCCACTCCAAAACTCAGCTTTTTCACATCTGGAAACCCATGCAATTTCCTTGGAAAAAAGATTTTTTTAAATGTATAATATAGATGCCTGGGAGATATTAAACAACAGAGCTAATGTATCATGGACTGGTGACATCGTGGTGAGGCACTTAATGCAAACATAATCCAACGCCTAGCAGCTGGAGAGGCAGACTTAGCCCAGTGGTCCTGGACCAGGACCCAGGAAACCCAGGGAAGGCAGCATGTCCACCATCAGTTTAGTGTCCAGTCTCTCTTTCATGGAAGTGTCTGATGAATACCATTTCTGCAGCTACTTCTTCATAGATCAAAATAAAGCTGAGGAGTGAATTCTTCAGTGCATTACTTGTAGTTAATTAATGGAACTTAATAGATTAGAGCCAATTTGTACTCTTGATTCTGAATTCACAGATGAGTGAAAGAAGATAAGCTTTCAGGTTGTTCTTGAGAAAATGACCTAGTAAAGGAATACTACCGAGTTATACTACCGAGACAGTGTCTACAAGGAGCTCCTTGAAAATGACAAGTCACCTTGTCATGAATCTTTCTGTGTAGCTTTCCTCATGACCTTGGCTAGGGTGCCTACTAGAAATCTCTACTTGCCTACTCAGCACTCTTCCCAGTACTGGACCTGAGCATCCTGAAAAACAAGCTAATCTCTATTTCTGAATCTTCAAGCTTTTGCCTAAGTCAGTGGGGGGAAAACTCGGGACCTGTGCATGGAATAAATAGTTGCAGGGTTTGAGAAAATATTTGGCTCAGCTATTAAGATGACACTAGATTCCTAACATCTGACGAGGACATGCCTGGGTTTGAGTGCCACTGCTTCCAGTTCCAGCTTCCTGCCAGTGTGCACCTTGGGATGCAGAAGTGAAGTCTGAAGTGCTTGGGTCTCTGCTATCCACTTGGGAGTTGGAGATTCAGCTATAACATCCTGCTTTTGGCCTGGACAAACCCTGGCCCTTGGCGTCATATGGAGAGGAACCAGGAAATAGCAAATCTCATTCTGTGACATTTATATCGCTGTCTCTGTCCCTCTTCTTTTCAAACAATTAAAATAAATTATACATGTTTTAAAAAGAATCACAATTTGGCAAGTTATTCTTTCTAGCTTTCCATGTATGCACCTATAAAATGAAAAATACCAAGTTAAAAATCCTTGTGGGGTCATAGTTTGAGAATCTGATGGCAATTATGGATTGAATTTCCAGAAAAAAAAAATCCAAGTCCTGAACAAAATTACAGAATTTTCCTGGATGACCTATGTCTGAACATTTGGAAAAAACAGTACTCTCTCCTCTTCAGCCTTCAATATTCTTGATTCCTAAGACTGCGCTGCAAGGCAGGAAAGGAGGCTGGATCTGGATTCCAGCCCTTTCGAGTCCTGTGACCTTGATTCCACCTGCCCTCTTTGGGGTCACATTCTCTATCAACATTGAAAGAAGAATTGAGCACTGAAAATCACATTGCAAATATGTTAGTTACAGGATTGTTTGAAAAAAAAAAAGATAAGAAAATGATTGTTGGACATTTAGTATAGTGTTTAATTAGAGTAATCACATAAAATCTTGGCAACATTTCTTTATAATTAGCTTTAATTTTAACTGTTCTCTTAGGTTCTGACTATAACGCATCCAAGTTAATACCACATTTGATAACATACTTAGTATGATATTTCTGGAATCCAAAAATTTAATCTTTTTGTTTCTTTCTTTGTTTCATTGTTTCTTTCTTTGTTTCTCTCTCTCTCTCTCTCTCTCTCTCATTATTCACTAAACAATTCAGGAAATATCTTTTTAACTCCAGCTAATTCATACTGAAAGAGATAAAAAGCCCCTTCAAACTAATATTGTTAGAAATCAGCCAGAGCTTTAAAATTAGAAAGAGAAAGATTAAAACTCAATCACTTATAGAATAAGATAAGGTATTTCTTTGAAATTGTAAATTTTATCCATGAAAGTCACTTCCGAAAATTGCAACTTATTTCTCGTGTCTGCCATCATCTTTCTAGCAATTCCAGAGATCTACTTTAGAATACTACCAACATCTTAATTCCTGATTGGGTTATAGAGAGAATTGGCCCCATTTCAGAGCATAGAGGCTTGCTTGGGTGAACCATCTGCAATCTTCACTGTTCAGGAAAACTAATTTTTTCACAGGGGCTCCAATGATTTACACATCAAGGTATTGACTGGGGAATCAAATAATAAAGAGGCAGCCCCTTAGCCACGGGCTACAGCTCTCCCAGAGCAAGGACTAGTAGTGGACTTGAATAGCTTATCAGGTGTCAGAATAGAAGCAGAAAACACTCACGTTCCCATCTTGCTGCCCAACTGGAAAGTCCACCCAAGGCCTATGTCACCTGGGTGACATAGAAGGAAATGTCATCCCTTATAAGTGACCCAGAAGGAAATGGAATGAAATTTTTAAGAAATCCTGCTGTTGCTTTTTCAGTAATTTGGATCAATCCACCTTGGAAACTACTACTCAAACACAGGTATGGGGACGACACTAAAAGCTATTCTGAGCCACTGCACCTGTTACAAGGTCATTTCCTCTCCAAGCAGCTACAGAGAATGCTGTGAATGATTTTTATATGCCAAAATGCAAAATATCAATGCAGCTATATTTCCCTAATGTAAGAAACACAAGATTTTAAACACATTTTGCCTTCCTTTCTTTCAGATATTAATAATAAAACTTGGGAAATATGAAGCTTTGTTGCAAAATTTGGTTGATTTGGAAAGTCATCCTCACCAATTTATTCGTGAAGAACATACCAAATAAATGACACCTGTAGATTTTAGTTTATTTTTAATTTAATACCAATTTACATCAAATGCACCTTGTCTGTTTTCTGCAAGCCAAAAGACAAAATTAATTATAACATAGTACAAGCACTTTGGACATTAACATGTAATTAACACTAAATCATCAATCATTACATTGTGGCAACATACCATAGCATTTGCTGCTGCTTTAATGAATCAAAAAGTAGGGGACTGGGCCCGGCGCGGTGGCACAAGTGGTTAAGGTCCTCAGCTTGCACGCCTGGGATCCCATATGGGTGCCGGTTCTATCCCGGCAGCCCCGCTTCCCTTCCAGCTCCCTGCCTGTGGCCTGGGAAAGCAGTCGAGGACAGCCCAAAGCTTTGGGACCCTGCACCAGTGTGGGAGACCCGGAAGAGGCTCCTGGCTTCGGATCGGCATAGCATCGGCCCGTTGCGCTCACTTGGGGAGTGAATCATCGGACAGAAGATCTTCCTCTCTGTCTCTCCTCTCTGTATATCTGCCTTTCCAATAAAAAAAAATAATAAAAATAAATCTTTAAAAAAAAAGTAGGGGATTAATTTTTATAAAATTTATTTTGAGGCTACTATATACATATTATGAGATGCTTGGCACTGGATTCTGCACTTTCAGGCCTGGGCAAGTTAGGTATAAGGGCTTGTAATTTCACACTAAAACCGTAAGAGCTACCTCCCATTAGTAGCTTCCATCCCCAGAGTAAAATGAGATGAAACTATCTGCTGAGAAGGTGTCCTTCCATGTACTTGTTGTGCTATACTGCAAGAGTCGCCCCTAGCTGTGTCTTGACTTATTGTTGTCGTATGCAAACGACTCAACCACCTCTTCTTGTCAGGGATTTTTGTCTCTTTCTCTGAAGCTTCACAATTCATGTTGCTCAGATCCTACTTTCAAGGTCATCCCACACACTCATGTCATTATTGAGTCATGGTCAGTGGCTTCAATCCAAACAGAAAATATCAATTTATACTGAAAGAGAGAGGGAATCTAACAGCAAACTTCAGCCTCCGTGGTCATAGAGGGCAATGTCTTGTGAATGGAACCCAACAGTAGAGTCTCAGTTCAACATGAGATTCTCTCTGCAACTTCGACCAAGCTCCAGTGAAACTAATTTGATGGTACATGTTTGCGCTAGTTGATGATGGTAAAGACAGTAGTTAAATGTGTTCTGATAACTGGTGATGTTAGGTTTGTAACTCACGGCACTTACAGCTTATTTCAAGTCGGATGAAGTCTTTCATGCCAAGATTTTCCAGAAAAACTCCAGATAAAGCCGTGGTTTTAAAGAAGAAGGAAATGTCAGCACTGAATTCCGCATGGAAGGCAGAGAACTGGAGGTAAGAGGCTTCTGTGTCAAACGTGACTGCATTCCACAAGTGTCCTGAAAATCAGAAAATCCTTCAGCATCGGTCAGCATTTTCCATGGGGTGTGGATGCCTGGGGCACATGGATTGGTCTCAAGACTAGGGCACACTGCCAGGAAATGGGGAGAAGAAACATCTTGTGCTCATGTGATTCAGAAAACATGCTTCAATGTTATACTCACGGTCACCATAGCAACGCAAGGGACCAACTCGCCAAACAGCTTCTGGATCTGATCTGTTGGTATCAGCGATAATTATCTGAGCAACAGGCAAGTGGTCTTTGAAGGAAAGAAACCCAGTATAATTTATCCTGCAAAACACAAGATTGAAAGAATAAAAAAGAGGATGAAATGTGGGTGATTCAAGGACTCTGCGAAGATCCCCTTTTGAATAATGACTTGGCTGTCTGAGAGGGGTAACAGAAGGCCTTTCTCTCATCAATATGTGTGAAAGGCTGTAATTCCAGTTACCATACCTGCAACTGACTTCAAAACACAAATGAATTTTATATTTCCTGAATGGGTTTGCAAAGCTCCCTGTGACTAAGAGTATCTGACCTGCTGGATGCATTGCCAATGTGACATTACAGACCTCCTGTCTTACCCCTCAAGAGATGGGCTAGAGGCTGGCACAAAGGCTCAACTGGCTAATCCCCAGCCTGCAAGCTCTGACATCCCATATGGGACTGCTTTGTATTCTGGCTGCTCCACATCTGACCTAGCTCACTGCTTTTGGCCTGTAAAAGCAGATGAGAATGGTCCAAAGACCTGGGAGCCTGCGTACACACGGGATATTGGGAAGAAGTTTCTGACTCTTGACTCCAGGCTCCAGAATAACTCAGCCTCAGCTGTTGTGGTCAGTTGGGGAAATTAATCCACTGGTGTGGAAGATCTTTCTCTGTGTCTCTCATTAGCTCTGTAAATTTACCACACCAAGATAAATATATAAATAGAAAGAGGAGATGGGCTACCGTTTAGATAACGTGAAGTAGCCATCATAAACCCTGCATGAAGATCACTTTAAGGGTGTGTCTCTGCCTCATGCGAATGGGTTTTTACCAGCTTCAGCTGCTTCTTATCCACTTCTCAGATCTAGGTTAAAAACAAAGTATTATGGTGTTGGCAGGCTGTGTGGTCTCACTGTTCTCTGAACTTTAAAGATCTTGGTGCTGTTCTTAATTACACAGATAAGGAATTTAGTAGTCAAGTTTTCACAAGACTGGTCCAAAAACATGGAGTAAAGCCATTGTGTTTTGCTTGTTTTTTAATTGTATTTTTGGACTTATGTTAGGAATCATGAGTTTGACCAAGAGTAAACATTAGTGGTATTGAACGTATTGTTGATTTTAACAGATATGTGATGAAGTAGAGCTGGGTTTTTTTCTTTCTTTTCTCCTACATATACAATTTCCATATACACATGATGGAATTATCCCAATTTAAAATGGGGAACAGGAGACCCATAGAGACAAGATAGCATGTGTGAGCTCACACCATTGAAGGTCAGGGACTATGTCACATTTTGGAGTCTCCACTTCCTAAATGGAAGAGCCTTAGAAGCATGTACATTGGTGGTGGAACTGAAGGTCTCCATCCTCCTTGTGATAACTTGGGTAAATAATTTTATCTGTGAGGTATCCCTATAATTGTTTTACAAGAAAGTTAGCATCTGTTTCAGAGCATTATGGGGAAGATACCGTGAGATTGTGTGTAGTTACTTAGCACTGTGTCTCGGAGCTGAGCCAAACACTAAAAGAAAAGGCAATGATGATTTCTATTTTATGTCCCTTCCTTGTTCTCATACCCCTCTGCAGACCCTGCTCAGTCAAATCATTTTCCTGCATTCTGCTGTGATGTTGTATGAGAGATTACACACTGCACAGCGCATGCAGTAAATGAAGCTTTAAGATTTGGTACCCAGCTCCTCAGACATGTACAAAAACTCATATTAACTCATCTTGGATATCAGTAAAGAAAATATCACCTGTGTGAATATTTCCACAGAGCTATCCACCAAACATCTAAAGAGATGGATTCTACAGGATCTCTCATTTGACTGTCTATATTCAGAGGTCATCCAGAAGTTGTGAAAGACATATATTTGAGACTTCTTATTCTAATATTTTTTTAAACACATCAAAGTGGAATGAAAACCGAATCCAGATTCTCTTTGATTGTAATTCTGAAATGCTACTGGATTTTGTTTTTTCTCCATTTTCATCCTAAGGTAAAAATGGCAGACTTTAATGTCTGTCTGTCAGTACTGACTGGTGCCCCTCTAATGGTCCATGGCACCTTTTTTGCATCATTTTGATGTCCTAATGTCAAAATGCTAAGGTACACAAATAGCACTCTAAGAATAAAAACAGCACTGAATAAAATCAGATTTTATATGATGAGGCAATGCACATGGCCAAGAAATTATATCTTACAACTTAAGCAAAAAAAAAAAAAAAAAAAACCAGAAAACCTTTCTAATGGTGTTTAGTGAAACAAAAACAAATACAAACTCATGTGCTTCTTTGGGCCAGGCAAGAGTGTGACACACACTTTAAGTGTGTGTATGTGTGAGTGTGTGTGTGTGTGTGTGTTAAGGGGTGGAGATTACCAGATACCCCTGTTCAAAGTAAGGCAGTGGATGCCATTAAAGAGATAACTAAAGCAATCATGAATTCAGAATCTTCATACATTAAGATTTTCACATTTCAGATCTTGACAATATATTTTAACTTCTTAGTTAAATCAATAAAGCATATGGATGCCAGTGGACAATGCACTCCACATAAGGCCTCTGTTCAGCTGATGGTCAGCTGTCCATTATGGGAAACCTGCATGTTTATTCATGCTGGTGGGCTGATCTTTAGAAGACTTGATTTAATTCAATATGCAAGTGACAGAAATGACTGAAGCATTTCAAAACAGTTGGAATGATGCAGGGGAAGGCAAAACCTACTTACAGGCAGGGAGACTGTAATTGTGTTTCACCCCAAAGGTGCATATTTTTCAGACTTGAACTTCCTATGTGATGGTGTTCACTAATGTTGGGAGGTGACTGGTGGGAAAGCATGTTCACTGGGAGAGACTGATATGCACTGAAGTTATTTGCTTCAATATACATGATAACATTGTATATGCACATGTATTTATCCTACATATCACCTGGGATCATGCATGTGACTTGGTTAGCTTACTTTTAAATACTGACAATATCATTATTTTGATATTGTTGTATTACCAAAGTCAATAGCTTATGGCCACAGTCAATATTATGCTTGATGCATAGGTAAGTACATAGTCTCATGTCATCTTGGAGAGACGAGGATTTAGGCTTGACTCCTGGCTCTATTCTGATTCAGTCTTGAGGGTTTTTTTTAGCATTGCGGGGAGCTAACCCCAAGATGTGAGAGCACCATTAATCTGTGTTTCATTGTCTCTAACTTGCAAGGAAGCAAAATGAAGCAGAGATCAAGATCCCATGGCACTTCTTAGATCCTTATATTTTGGGTAAAATACTCCAAGTCACAATGTTGCATGAAAAACATATCTGCAAAATCTTTATCTTGATTTTAATTTGAGTTCTATTTCCAACACCGTTGCAATTGCTCAAATAATAAGATTAACTGACAGCCAAGCTACAATGTATGTGTAGAGCTCAAAAGATAAGTAATGCAATAGGAAGTACAATCTGCATCTTTCATTTTTTTCTTAAAAGCACAAAAAATGCATTTCATAGATGTTTTGTTTTCCAGAGCCTACAGATTATAATCTATTCATATAAGTAATTTTCCAGAATAGATGACAGAATGGTGGCATCCTCAAATAAAAATGAAAAGAAAAACTCCTCTTTAATGCTATTCTTTACAAAACAGCATCTGTCTAACTCCATGTACAGTTCTACAAACTAACGTTGTGACACTATGGTTTCGAATTTTTAACATGCACCTATAAGTTCTCATTCTTTTCCACATCTTTCACTTTTTCTAGTAAGATACATGATAAAATCTACTATGTAAAAATTTTGAGGCAGGCATCTCCTGTAGTGTTGGAAATGCATCCTGGGGCAGCCGTATTTCACTCTGGCGTGATGAAGCACTTCCTGCGAATGCCCATCTTGGAAGGCAGCAGGAGATGACTCGAGGTATTATATCTCTGCCACCCATGAGGAAGATCCAGTTTGAGGTTTTGGCTCCTGGACTCTGCATGGCCCAATTTTGTCCTGTATAGGAAATTAGGAAGTGACTCAAAATGATGAGTCTCTCTGTGTCTCAGTCTCTATCCTTAAGTATTTTTAAAAGTAACATAGAAACTTGAAAATATGTAAGCCACTGTCAAACTACCCCAAAATGTACAACATAAGGAAAAATTAAACAGTAGACAATAACTATAATAACTAATGCCATTTTTAATCAGTTATAGAGTTTGAGATAAAAGGAAATCACCACCCCTGCCCATCATTCCTTCCATTCCTTCATTCATTTATTCATCTGCTCAGTCAACAACAAGTGCAAGAAGAACCTAAAATATACAAACCATGTTTTCTCCGACTCAAGGTGCTGATCATGTCTATATTGCTACGGTTATGTTGAAAATTAAAGAGGGAGCAAAAATCCACATATATGTTCCATCATTTCTATCTGCTTGGGGAGAGGTTATGACAAAAGCTCAGTAAGCAGTAGAATTTATAAATGGATTAGTGAGTGATAAGCTCACCCAGTATAGATTACACAGAATTCGTTTCTAATAAGGGACCCAGCCTAGGTGTGCCCTAAGGTGATTTTTCTTTGCCATGGTTTCAGGATTGGAGCCACATCTCAGGGTATTCCTGGTATGAGGCACCATGACTGCATCCAGAATCCAGAACTGTGAGTTGCATAGGTGAAGGTTTTGTCTGAATCAAAGGAAGTCTGAGGCATCAAGGAACGAAATGCATGAGAAAGCTACCAATACCTTAACTCGTTGGATCCAAGAGTTGTCTAGCACTGTCTTATGAAGTCTCTCTCAAGAAGGAAATCAGGCACATATTTTAAAGGCAAGGTCCTAGACTTGGTTAATGCACATTTAGAAATAAAATGGTGTTGGACCAGGCATAATGGTTAAGGTCCTCACCTTGAACACACTGGGATCCCATATGGACGCCGGTTCTAATCCCGGCAGCTCCATTTCCCATCCAGCTCCCTGCTTGAGCCTGGGAAAGCAGTCGAGGATGGCCCAAAGCCTTGGGACCCTGCACCCGCGTGGTAGACACGGAAAGAAGTTCCTGGATCCTGATCCGTGCAGTACTGGCCGTTGCGGCCACTTGGAGAGTGAATCATCTAATGAAAGATCTTCCTCTCTGTCTCTCCTCCTCTCTGTACATCTGACTTTGCAATAAAATAAATAAATCTTTAAAAAAAATAAAGTGGCACAACGTGAAAGCCAATATGTAAGAAGATACTTTGGGGAGCAAATGATCATTTCTAGCAGGTTTTCCAAAAGTAATTATTTTAATTGACAAGACTGCAAATATTGATTAGGTACAGCATTGCAGGTGATGTTATGATGTTATTGTGTGTTTGAATGTGTAAATTGCAGTTTAAAAGGTAATTAGTCCACTCATTACCTAACATGGAAACAAGATAGAAATCCACCAATGGATGAATCAGTAACAGCAGTCTAATCTATATATACACAATAGGCCACTATTCAGTACTAAAAGTAAGGAAATCCTATCACTTGTGACAATATGGAGGAAGCAGAAGGACATTAAGTTAAGTGAAATAATTCAGGCTCAGAACCCAAATATTTTGATAAGTAAGAGAAAAATCATTCTATACCCAGAATGGTTCAGGTTAAACTTTGCTAATATTCTTTGTGAAACAGTGAAAGTAATGATCAGCCATAATGCAATAGCAATGAATCCTGGAACGGCCACGACCTGTCTCACCAAAGGCACGACCAAACGCAGAGAAGTACAGTCACAACCAGCAGAAGCCATCCCGTCTTTTCCATCTATGAATTCAGCACCATTTAATAAAATAATTTCTCAGGTGCAGAGAAAGAATCAATGGCTAAAATGGGGCCTGAAGATATAGGATTTCACAACTAAAACAAATAAATAAATATCACTTAAACATATTCTGTTATTTAAGAAAAAAATGATATATTTCCTCTCTTGGGATCATCAAATGACTAGAATTAACACTAGACATCCTCTTCTATTTTCTGCCATATCATTTTATACAAGGATATACTAAGGGCAAGAACCAGAAATCAGTTACTAAAATCCAATAAATATTTCTGTACACAGTTCTGAAATACATTAAAAAAAAGGTTCTAGAAGTTAAACAAGAGAGTTCCCAATTTAGACAGCCTAGTTCAGACCTTGGACTGTCAAATAAGTGGCACGGTTGGGAGGTTTCCCTGTTTTCCCTTACTTGGCATCCTGATATTCTTTTTAAAAGTTTATTTAATTTATTGTAAAGGCAGAGTTGCAGAGAGAAAGAGTCCATGAGAAGATTTTGTATCTGCTGACTCAGTCCTCTAATGGTCATATAATGGCCGGGGCTTGGCCAAACTCAAACCATGAGCCAGAAGCATCCTCTAGGTCTCCCACATGGGTGTAGTGGCCCAAGGACTTGAGCCATCATTTGCTTCTTTCCTAGGCTTATTAGTAGAAAGTTGGATCAGACGTGAAGCAACCAGGACTTAAACAGTGCCCAAATGGATGCGAGTGACCTGGGTGCTGACTTAATCCATTACAATACAATGTTGGCCCCAGAATTCTAATATACTTATGCAAAGGTGACTCCCTTCCCACAGCCCACACAGCCCAACCTAACCCTGTTCTTTCTCCAGGGCTTGCTTTCTTACACTTAACTCCACCTAAAGCAGCTGCTGGAGAGAAGACCTGTCTGTTAGGATTCCCCTAGGCTGGTGGGTTCTATTGCAGGGGTGCTCCTTTGCACATTCACCAGGAGAGCACTATTCATTCAAGTTTCAATGCTCTCATTTCCTTCCTGCTGAATTCAGATGTCTATGGATGCTGCTGGTGCCGTTCACTGAGTGATTCCCACCTCTGCCCTAACCACCTCCATCTTCTGTCCTGCCTGTTCTTCTGCTCTTACAAGACACTCTTCACTCTACTTATTGAGGTCTCATTAACACATATCACAGCATGTCAGTGAGTTGCTGACATTCATTAAAACAGAACAAAGTAACGTGTCGTTAGTAAGCAAAACCTTGGAAGGTGCCTGGGGTTGGGGGTTGGAAAGGGAAAAGCAGAACTCTGACCAGGTTAAATTTAGCAAAAAAGAAACTCTATGCTATGGTGCTATGATCTGAGAGATTCTTGAGGGGTTTCTACAGTGTCCTCTCGCAGTGGTTGCTCAGTGTGAACTTCACCACCAGGGCCCCCTGCCACCATGACTCAAAAAGCCAGTGGTCAGCAAGTCAGTGTGCTTGGATTTTGCTGGGCTTTCAAGTTCACGCTCCAGTCAGATGCCCTTAACCCAACCACTAGCCATCTCAGAGCCACAGCTTTTATTTCTGGAGACATGAGACCAACCAAACACCTCAAGGTTTTCCAGATATTAGAAATTTGAGTTATAGCACACAGAATGAAAAACGACACATCAGCTTGATAGGTAGCAGCTTTCTAAGTGACAATGATTTCTAAGAGTTGTTATATAACAAACCACTCCTCACCAGGTGATGTACTAGCACAAGACAACTCACTAATTAATTTCATGCAAAAACAGAGATTTGAGAGAATTATGCAAGATAAGATAGTTTTTATTTGTTTTGAAGTCAATTGAACTTCAGTGATATTAAGGGGGCACCCTGCTCTCTAACAACCATCTGAGACTTGTCACAAGCCATCCAGTCCAAATGTTAACATAATGATGAGGCCTGCAGAGAGCAGAGCGTCTCTCAGGTCCATTTTCACACTTGGGTTTTCTGTGGTGAATGGTAGAGCTGGAAGAATAAATAATGAATGCATTGCCCTAGGACTCTGCCATGCTGTACATGCATACTCTGACCAACAATTCTTGTACAGATAAAAGACAGCTCATGGTTATTTCACAAGCTTCAGGAGCTGGGTCCAATCTCATTTGCTATTTGACCGTCCACACCAGAGCAGTGCAGCAAGTACACCAGTACACCTGTCCCAGCACATAGAGCTTTATGCAATGTGTTTATTTTGTTTGCAAATTTCTGGCCCTTAATTGCCACTCTGAACTCTCTGTCTTCCAACCAGTGTTGCCATTAGGACACACCAACTGGTCCATTTGTTCATCACCAATGTGCCCTTCTGGTTAAATTCTTCCTGTGTGTTTTTCAAGGCTGGAAACTGTGATGTTCCTGACCCTCACAGTACCATGGACTGCCTTGTGCTGAGCGTGGGCTTAGCAAATAAGCAACAAGTGACTCAGGGTGAGATGGAGAAATGCACACAGCTGATGCTAAAACAAATGATTCTCCACAGATAGAGTCCTGGATGTTCTACTTCAAATCTAGCCTCACTTAATGCTCATGAGAGAGCAGAGCGTGACAGCTTGAATATCTGGGCTCACGCTATTCATTTGGGGAACTTGTATAAAGTTCAAGGCTCCTGACCCAGCCCCTGCACTTACTTACACTCTCTTCTATCTTCCACTTGTATTTCAGATGAAATGAGGATTTTAAAATTATTTGATTGACTGAATATACAGAGGGTATCAGAACTGCAAGAATTTCTGGGGAGAAAAGGCTAGAATCAGAGGATGAAATGAGCAGTGACATTTCCAGAGCAGTGACACGATGCCATAAATATTCACTGCCCCTTTGCGGGCAATAAATGAAGCCCTAGCTGAGGCAGTGTGTTCAGGAGGCAATTGTTGTATAAAGAAGGGGCTCCACCAGAAGAAAAGTAACAATGTGAAGCAAGCATACAGCATAGAGTGAAGTAAAACATGAGGGTGAGTATGAGAAGCATTCCCTTTTCTATTCTCACTCACGTTTCACCTGTGAAGGCAGCTTTTCTGACTACACACCACAAAATGGAGCTGCTTCTCTGAGCCTGCATGTCTGCAAACAGTGTGTGCCATCCCATGCATCAAGATGAGCCTAGGAATCAAAGACATGGGTGAGTTTGCATGGAAGGGAGCCTGGGAAGCAGAAAGATTTTTCTGTCAACACGGCTAATTCACACATCCACCCCTGCCCATCTCACAACGTGCGGATGCCATTTCTCTATAATTCCTCCTCTTTGACTGAGGCTTTTGGATGTCTGGCACTCACACTGAAGACTCAGACTGAACTCCAAGTTCCTGACTTCAGCCTCGCTTACCATGACTATTGCAAGCAGTTGGGCAGTGAACCAGCAGATGAAAGAACTCTCTATTCTCTTTCTCCCTTCTCTCTCTTTCTCTCTTTCCCACTTCCCTTCTTCTCACCTTCCATCCTTCTCTCTGCAAATGTATAATACGCCTTTCAAATAGAAGAGAGCGATGGCTAACTAGAACATCAGTGAGAACTGGTGAATGTCCATGTAATTACTCCCACCTGTCTCCGTCAGCTTCCTTGTCCACATCCGTGTTCCACCTGTCATAGAAACACCAACTGAATTGCAGAGCTCAGTATTCCATCCTATTCCTTTGGAGTATACGAATCAGAATTTATGCAGAGATCATGGTGTGACCACTTGCCTTTTGTTACATCCTTCAGTCATAGCACACAAAATAATTGGACTGTCCACTTTTGATATAAAGAAAAACAAACAAAACAAACCCTGCCTCCCAACCATGAAGAAGCCTTTATTCATTTATATTTCTCATCTACACCTTTCTCTCTTTGTGTATGTTTTATGGTTCAATGCATGTGCCACTTTCCCAAGTGATGACAATTTCTTCTTACCATTCATCCTTGTCCATGTCACAGTTGCAAAAGCGTGGAATGTCCAGGAAACCTTTGCCCAGGCCACATTCACACTGCTGGGGGCCAGGAGGGGGACCTCCCCAGAATGGGAACTTTTCCTTGGACCGTCCGATCCACCAGATGTATGGTGCTCCATCTGGAAGACAAGATATTTCCCAGGTCAGGGGGAGGGTGTCATAGAAAATGGGGAGAAAGCTATATATGTGTGTGTACACAGGGACATACAAATAAGCAGTGTTATCATCAGAGCTATTTACAATAGGGATTCTTCAAAATTCTAAGTAATGGAACAGAAGGAAGAGTTCATTTCAATGCAAAAACATCTTTTAAATTCTCATGATCCTTCACAATTTTTTTAAAAGTCTCCTATAGGAGTGGGCTGCAAAAAGGCTTTGCATCAAAACAACCATATATTTCATCGTAATTTCCCATAAACCTCTTTTCTTAACTTTTATTTATTTGCTTTATTTGTCTGAAACTCAGAGCAAGAAAGATCACAGACAGCTTTCCTGTCCACTGTTTCATCTCGGCAACAGGCTATGGATACTGATATGGATTGCGCCCAGCAACTGCAGCTGGGCCAGGCTGAAGTCCGGAGCTTTGAGTCAATACAAATGTTTCATGCTGCCCTTCAACTTACAGAAGAGCTGGAAGCTGGAATAAAGAGCAGAGCTGGGAAGAGAAACCAGGCACTCTGATAGCATAACACATAATTTGAAAATACGGCAAATAAGTGATATAGAAGTTTTCTTATATCTACCTAGGCTCAGCATTCCACCTCTACGAGTTCCTCAAGTCAAACCCCGTGGGTGCACTCAATCTGCTCCAGCACAGTCCCTCTGCTGCCAGTGTGGCTTGTGCTCCCACACCTTACCCTCCAGGACTCTCCCTGCCACTTAGCAGCTGCCTCAATGGGGAAAGCCCAGCCTCATATCTGTCTTCCTACTACAGATTCAGTTAGAAATTCTGCATAGAAATTGGAGAAACTACTCAAGGTTGACCCGGAAGAGGCTTCTGGCCCTGACTTTGGATTGGCACAGCTCCGACTCTTGCGGCCACTGAGGGAGTGAATCATCAGAAGGAAGATCTTCCTCTGTCCCTGCTCCCCTCTGGGTATCTGACTTTCCAATAGATAAATAAACCAATCTTTTACAAAATTATCTCACTCAACCTTTGTAATTACATTGAAAATTTTCATTCTCCTTTAACAGATAACCAACTCTTGTTAACACCAGGGTTAATAAGTCCCTAGGAAGACACACATACATACACACACACACACACACACACACACACACACACACACACACACACAAGATTTGAATTTGATCTCTACAGCCCCAAACCTCAATGATATTATTATTGTTTCATTTGAAACCCACTCCTACTATAGATAGAAATAAATGTGTATCATATATCTGAATTAGTTCTTGGGTCAATACTCTAAGATTATACTTCAAATAGCCATCATATTGGCAAAACTGTGCCATCCTCATTGGGAACTTTTCCTAGCTCTCTGGAGGTTATTCCCAACTAAACTGTCCTCCCAGTTATTTTGCCAGCTGTTTACATTAATAAAGAAACAAACTTTGAGGAGTGACACACATTCCAGAAGACCTCCATTTTGGATTCTGTATCATTAAAGAAAAAAGATTTATTCATTTTCACTGGAAATTCAGATAAACAGAGAGGAGAAGAAACAAAGAGGAAGATCTTCAGCCTGCTGATTCACTCCTCTAGCAGCCACAATGGCCAGAACTGAGCCAAACTGAAGCCAGGAGCAAGGAGCCTGTTCTGGATCTCTTACATAGTTGCAGGGTCCCAAGGCTTTGGGGGCATCACCAACTGCTTTCCTAGGCCATAAGCAGGGAGGCGAATTGGAACTGGGCTGCCAAGAATAGAACCAGCACCCATTTGGGATCCAGATGCATGCAAGTCGAGGACCTCAGCACCTAGGCTACTGTGATGGGCCCTTGTTACCATTTTCAATATCTGCTTCCCTTATATCACAGCTTTCTTAAGATTCATGTGTCCCTGAGATGCAAATTTTGTTTCTGCCAATTTTAACTTTGTAATCCTGTTCCCACTAATCTGCTCTAACCTCATAGTACCATGCTTGGCAGCATTATCCACCAATCCCTTATGGCCACTGCCCTAGTCCTCGCTCACTGCTATGTTTACCAATTCCTTGTGTCCCTGAGAGTCTTATCCACTAATCCCTCACAGCCTCATAATGCCCACCCCGGGCCATTAAAAGGGACTTCCTTTCTCCCGCCCCTTCCCATGGATACCCCTCCTGCCACTATAGCAGGAGACACCTCTTCTTCCCTCCATTCTGACTTTGTGCCCACTCCTGCAGTCATATTCCCTTCTGGAATATAGGCCCCTGTGTGACTTGCTGGGTGTACTTTTTTGGCTTGTGGCTGCAACTGAAAAAGGCGTATACTAAAAAGAGCTAATGCCGAAATGATCTAATATTTGGTGCCATGAATTCAGTTGGCTTTCCCACCTGGCTTCCTGGTCCTAAAGTTGGGACCTCTGCAGGATCTAATCCCTTTCAGCCTATAACCCAGGCATGGGCTCCCACTAGGCACATGCTCCAGTAAGCAAGGCACCCCTCATCTTTCTGAATGCCACCACCATATCCAAAATAATGTGACTGCTCCCTATCAATCCTGGGGTTTTGAAAGAAGTTGGGCACAGTTTCACTCCCATGACCAGGTCCAGTCTCCATTTTTGGAGTTTGGCTCCATTGACCCTGGGCCCGGGTACCAAACTCCCCCATTGGCTGGCTTCCATGCTCTGAAGTGATGCCTTCTGATGCAGGTAGCTTGTCCTTAATGCAGGGTGGTAATGACCCGCCTCCCGTGAGAGCCATAAAATTTACTGACCGAGGAAAACTTGGGGACACCCTTATTTCTCTGTGTGTCAGTTCATTTTCCATTGCTGCAACTGAACCTGAGTCTATTAGCTGTGGGAGTGGCTGTTTCATCAGCTGTTCCTCCTGACACAACCTTGGGCTGTCTCCTGGCCAATTAAAAGCCCTCCAATTGCATTCCTACATAAAACAGCATATTCTGTATTATGGATTGGCCTCAATATCACTTAGATAATGCCAGAATTTGTAAGGACAGAAAGACTACCCCTCAGTCCCATGTCTAAAATATCTTCTATCTCTAACCTAAATCTGCTCATTTGTAACTCATCATCTTCTTGAAACTCCTCTTCTCCCTCCAAGCTCTCTATTTCTGCAGCAAATTGGAGTTGAGGCCACAGGACAACTATTGAATACCCAACCCCTAGAGAGCATTCCACCCACCTGGGAAAACCAATAGCTGGGCTGTCTCATGTGGCCGAACCCAGTTCGCCATTTTTCCTTTCTCTTCCATGTGTCAATACCCTATCCACCATACTGCTTTCTCCCTCTCTGCCTCTCATCCCCCTGTGTCTGAAGGTTGCTGTTTGTTCTCCTCACTGGGGATCTGAGCTGCAACAAGCACCTCTTCAGACTCCCTACTGAGAATACTTGTGAAGAAAACATTTCATAGACTCTCAGCCTTTACTGATCACACATGCTACTTCTATCAGATTAAGGGTGTCCTACTGCTCTCTGCGGGTGAAAGGTGAGTCCAACCTCTAACTCCTCCACAGATTCCTACCCATGTCTCAGCCATCAGGCTTTGCTGGAGAGTTCAATCCCCTACAGTGTCTCCACTTTAATGCCTCCTAACAATCTCAAAAACAGACACACTAATTTTCTTTTGCAACATGGCTTGGATTCAACACAAATTAGACAACAATTCAATTTGACCTCCAATTTCTCCGTAATCTAGAAAACTTCTATCACAATGGCAAACAGAGATTTCCTATGTTCAAGCCTTCTTTTCTCCATTCTTGCCCTTTGTCGATCCTGTTTAGGATCTTTTGCCTTTACCCCAATAATGCCTCAATCCTCCTGTCCAGCCACCTCAGAGGCAAAACTCTCCTTGCTCTCCCCTTTCCCCAGGCAGCTTTTCCCATCCTCTCTTTTTTCCGTTACACTGATTACTCTCTGTGGCTGCAGATTCTGCCCATGTAAGCCTTTCTTTTCTTTTCTTTCTTTTTTCTTTCTTTCTTTTTTCTTAGTCTTTTTGTTAAATCTACCCCACCCCACCTCTTAGCTAGGAGGGGCAGGGTACAAGATAAGCTAATTAGCATCTATTTAAGAAAAACAAAAGGTACCTTGGCAAGAGGGTGGTATAGGGTGAAGACAGGTTTACAATGATAGAGAATAATTAGCATAGTGAAGCACAGAGGAGAGATTTCAGTAAATAGAAGACAGGCCAACAGCAAAGAGCCATGTGGACACCCACAGACACAGGGAAGCAGCAGACAATAGAATGGTGTTGCAGTGACCAGATACCGCAGCAATGGTCAGCTATCACAGGCTGGTCATCTGAACTCTACTGGTGACCAAGTAGAAAGGAAAATTCACCAGGAAATCAGGGGGTGAACCAAGACAAGGAATTGCCTGTCCTGCTGATTTGTTTGATCTTACCACAAGCAGAGAAGGAGTCGCAGATGCCAAGGGATGGTGTAGGAGCAGGGTGGATTTCATGACCTCCAAACCTAATAGTGTCACATCGAACACCATTTTATTTAGTATGGCAAAGACTGTAGTGAGCTGTGCATGTGCTAAGCAAGAAAGGAAATCAATTTTAGCTCAGCGACACTGCAATGATCAGCACCAGCTCAGCACCCTAAGGTTTCCAACACCCTTAGGGTTCAAGGTGGCCCCCAGATCTAGCAGCCAGCAGGTCATGAACCCCACTAGTTTGACATCAGGCACTATCTTGCGCACTGCAGCAAAGCTGCAACACTGGAGGGAAAGAAGTGAGCTGTGTATGCAATAAGCCAGAAGCAATCCGTTACCATTTCTGTACTGCAGCAAAGGCTGAGGGCCCAGAGGGACAACAGTGAGCTATTCATGCACTAAGACAGAAGGGAAATCAGTTTTGGCTCAGCACACTGCAATGATCTCACAGCAAATCAGTACGGACTGTGTGAGGGGGACACGCGATCCAACCAAAATAGGACCAGGTGGCACGCAGACCTACAAGCTAGCAGGTTCCAACAAGAGCAGCACCCAGTGATTTA